CAATGAAACATATTCCAAGTGAATCAAGTGATGAAACAAGATTTTCTCATTCAAAATCTGAATCACCAAAATTAATTAATGATGATTTATCACAAAATTTTCATACTTTATTTACTGATGATAAAGGTTCTGTTAAAGTAAAACATTGTATTTTAAAAAAAGATCCAACTTATAATGGTTATGGTCTTGTATTACGTTATCAAAATGGACTTCATTTAATTGATCAAGTTGAAGAAGATTCACCAGCATTTAAGGCTGGTTTACGTGAAGATGATATTATTTTATTTGTTGATAAAAAAAATGTTGAATTATTAACACATGATGATGTTAAAATACTTATAAGAAAATTATCATTATCAAATACAAATATTGATTTAATATTAATGAAAAAAAATGATGTATCACGATATAAAATTTATCAAGAAAAAAAATCTATCGATTGGAAACCAATATTAGATGATCAAACGAATAATGAAACAATACAAAGTAGGCAAAGCACATATCAACGAAAATCATATCATGAAAAAAAATAATTATTATTATCTTAACATATTTTCATCTTCTTTTTGCATGATAATGCATGTTTAATTTTTATTATATATACATCTATTTATAATAAGTATCAAATTTTTTTTCATAATTTTTTTTTCTGCTATTGTAAGCATTAGAAAGAATCTAAATAATGATTCGAATAAAGAAAATTGTTTCCAAAACGGAATATAAGGAAATAAAAAATAATGAGCAAATTCGCAAAGATAAGAACACTCAAGAAAATCAAACTCCTAGTTTTTCAATACATAGAGTATGCAAATATAAATTTGTTTACGCTACATAGAGCAATAGAGTAAAACATCTTCGACAACATGAGATGTCTCCGAGTTTTTTAGCTGAGATACAGCAATGTTACGAAAGTTCCTAAAATTGGTTCTTTCTCAACTTCGTAGAGAAAAACCATTTTTTGATCTTCAATTAAATTGCTATATCTCATCGGAAAAGTGTCACAAAGAACTCGAAGATGGTTTACTCTAGTGTTCTATTTAGTTTAAAAAAAAACAATCATATTTACGTGTTCTAGATGTTAAAAAACTAGGCTTTTGGTGTTCTGAAGTTTCTATTCTTGCCAATTTGATAATAATTTTTATTTTTTTATATTCTTGTTGGAAATAGATCTATGACAGTTTCCGATCAAAGAACTAAGAACAAGTACATTTGAGAAAAAAATTGATCATTAGATCCAGTTCTTAGAATTCTGAGCTGTCACAGGTTTTCTAGTTGGAAACCATTTTCTCCATCCGAATTCTTTCTAATATTTTACAACCAGCAGAAAAATATTGAAAATAAACTTTGCTGAATAATTTTAGTAGTCACTGTATAACTAACTTGTCTTTTTGTTTTGTTTTTTAATTGTATTTCTTGATTGGCTTTTAATCTTATAGATTAGTATTTGTATATAATTGTGTCTTTATTGTGCATACTAATTTAATTAATCTTTTAATCAATATTGCAATATGTTTTTGCTTATAAGGTTTAAATAAAATAATCAATAATTGTACTGTTTTTGCATGTCACACATATTAGAATTACTAACATTTTGTATGTTCACTATTTTAATAACAAATAAATTTTTATTGACTATTGATTTAATAATATTTATATTCATGTCATCGATGGTTTTTGTTTTTCTTTTACTTTTTTTCTAGGTGATCAATCAATATCAAATGTTAGTCGTTCATATGATCAAACAAATGATTCACGTAAATCTTCTTCATCATCTGGTAAACAAGCTGCACCTGCACCACCAATATCATCTACAAGTCAATTGACAACATCACCTAGTACTCGTGTTTGTATTTTACAACCATCTGCTGATCGTACAGCTGGTTTTGCACTTAGTGGTAAAACTTCTCCACCATATGTTATTTGTCAAGTTGAAAAAAATTCTCCAGCTGATAAAGCTGGTTTACATATTAATGATGCGCTTATATCAATTAATGGAAAATTAGTAACTGAAACAAGTTATGAAGATACAGTTAAATTAATTAAAGAAGCACTTCAAAAAAGATCTGTTGAACTTGTTGTTCGAGATCCATCATCTCAATTAGATGATAATATAAAAAATCAAGATCGAACAAAATTTTCCATGGGTAGTAGTGATAGTGGTAATGTAGGAAATCAAGGTAGTATTGGAGGAGAACCAAGTCAACAAGGTGCCAATGCTGTTGAAGAATATCAAAGTATGTAAAAAGACAAAGGGAGAGGGAAAGCAAGAAAATAAAATAATGCTTTGAAAGTTTTTTTTTCTATTTGTTGAGTTTTTGTTTTTGTTTTTTTTCCTCATCTAAAGCTTTTGAACATCACTTGACAATACTCACCGATATCTTTGCATGAAAATTTTCTTACCCTTACTCCATTTCATCAACAATGGCCAATTTTTTTTCTTTTGAAATTCTATTCTTTTCTGTTTTTATTTTTCTTTATTTCAAATGGTATATTATTTATTAAGCTGCTGTCGTTGTGGATGGATAGGGGATTAGTCAAACTATATTGTCATTTTCACATATTCTTGAAGCTTAATATTGATGACAACAAATGCCGCCTGTTCTTTGATATCTAAACACACCAATGCACATAAACACGTAGCTTTGTAATTGTGATCAAAATTGAAGTCAATTAGTGACAAATGATTGATGTCCTTTTGAAATGAGTAAAATTGCATTGTCTCAGTTTTATTATGTTTCCAAAACGTGAACATTTTTTAATTATTTACTACAAAATTGGTTGAATCATGGTTTATATATTGTTGAAACATACAGAAAGATAAAAATGAAAGTAATATTTCATTTGAAATAAAGAATATTATGTTTACTTTGTCAACAAAGCAAAAAAAAAATGATGAAAGAACAATTTTGTTATGATAATTATTTCAAAACCAAAAAAATGGGTCATTAGTATATATTTGTGCATTCAAATTATATCCTTGTATTACTACTTTAAAAACTGCAATGATACAAATCATAATTATTATTTGAAACAAGCTGTTAATATACAAAATCTATTAATTGGATTAAAATATCGCGAATTAATTGATGTTGAACATTTGATAGTCGATATATTTAAATATGCATGATATCGTGTGTGTTGTTTGCTCCTTAACTGCAACGTGGGCGCATTTTTGGATATTGTCATAAAAATGAGACAAAGCAATTTTACTCACTCTAACAAAAGCGATTATTTTTCACTAATTGGCTTAAAATTTTTTGGCCGCAATTAATGCGTAGTCCATAAACAAAAATAATCAAATAATTTTCTTTTCGTTTTTTTCTCTCTCGTTTAAGATCGAGGCATCTCCTCCTCCTCTGTCGACGGCAGCAGCAGCACTACTACGAAGAATTTAGATTCGGGGCGTGATCGCAAATAAGAGACTATAATCATCATAAACATGTATTTTTGAATAAAAAGAAAACAAAAAAAAGAACATTCTTTATATTAAAAATATTCACGATGCATGTTCAAGGCAAGTTTGCTTGATTTCTTATTTCTTTTTTTTTCTTTTTTTTTTTTTTGTTTCTTGGCTTATAAATTGATCTTGTCCGTATTTGCCTATATATATATAAATTCTTTTGTTTTTACGATTTAAAGCTCAGTTTTATTTTCATTGCTTACCAATTCCTATTTGCTTTTGCTCAATATTTAGTTTGGCATGTATCTCTGTTCTTTCTTTTTTTTCTGCTGCTTTTCTTTTTTTTAGAACAGCGAAATAAAGAATTATCATATACATTACGTCTTTGTCATTTACATCCAACTAATTCTGATGGTACACATGCAGCAACATTTGGTTTTGAATTAAGTGAAGATCCTGATTATGAATATCCAATTATATTACGTGTTGAACAACAATCACCCGCTGAAGGTGCTGGTTTACAATCACGTGATGTATTATTAAAAATTAATGAACGTAAAACCAAAAATTTAGGTTATGATAAAGTTAAAAAAGAAATTGAAAAAGCTAGACGTGATGGACGATTAGAAATGCTTGTTGCTGATCAAGAAACATTTGATTATTGTCAACGAACAAAAAAACCATTAAAAGAACCCGAAATGAAAGTAAAACATATTTTTCCAAAAAGTAGGTCATCAGCAAGTTTTCATAAATTACCTGTTGCTGCCACAGGAGCAGCAACAACTTCAATATCATCAAAAGATAGTCCAGAACAGTTACATAATAGTAATAGAAAATCTACTGATAGTATTTCATCTGCTCATAATATGACAGTTGGTTATCATCTTCCGACACCAAAAGAAACGGATTCTGAGAATGAAGAAAATGCTAAACAAGATTTACCTGAACAAAAATCATCACCTCCTATTACATCACAAGCCAAAACAACACGCCATTCACAACCAGCAGTTAGTTTTGATTTATCTACACCGCCTAGTACACTTGCTCATGCTTCTGCCCGTTCTCACGAAACACCATTAAAATTTTTTGATCCTGCACATACGAAATCTGAACAAAAGGATACTTCTTCAAATGTTTCTCAAAATGTACCTAGTACATCACATTCGACAACATCCACTAAAGAATCAAAACCATCAAAAGCAAAAGCTATACCAAATGCAATTAATAATTTATTTCACAAAATTGGACATTCAAAATCATCAAAACGTTCGTGATTATTTCTTTTCTTTTTTTTTTCTTCTTCTTTTTGCATGTAGCTATTTTGACATTTTCTTCTTCGTATCGTTATTATTACTATAACTGTTGTCAGTTGTAATTTAAAAAAAACGTAGTGTTTTTTTTTTCTAGAACTTTTTTTTTTAATATTTATTTCTATTAGTATCACTTCTTTATATTATTATTTTCGCACTGTACACACAACAAAAAATGCACATTTTGCATGCTCCAGCACTCTATATTACAACGACTACTGTAGATAAAAGACAAAAAAAAAAAAAAATCTTTTTATTCTATCTATATTGCACGCCTATGACCGACACAGATGCACATATTCTTAGAAACACAATACAAACACGGTAGGTTATCTGACAATATCACCTAGATATGATTTTAGTATAGATCTATTAGAATAGAATAGTCTGAGAGACTTTAGCATTTCTTTAGAGTATTGAATACTTTGATCTTGTGCTTTTTATTTTACTTTGTTGATATCGAGTAAAAAATATTTTGATAATGTTGATAGTCACAACTGAGAAAAGTAATAAATATTTCTTATAACTAACGAATAAATTTTGATAGAAAAAAAGAAAGAAAGTTGTGGTTTTCATTGATGAAAAGAAGAGACTTGGAGGCATCGAACTATATAAGAAATATAATGTTTAAAAACATTTTTAGAAGGTATATAAAAATCGAAATTTTTGAAGTTCTCATAAAACGTTAAATTCTGAATACAACAGTTTGTTTAATCTTGGTTTTTCAAAAACCACCCAGAGAAATTATGAATATTATGTTTCGTATATGGTTCGTAACGCCCAACTCTTCTCTTTTCAATGGTGAAAATCGTATGTTTCTTTCTTGTTTCTGTCAGAAGTTATTTGCAATCCAAAACTGTTCGGTGACCTTCGGACCATCCTGTATTTATAAAAATGAATTAAACCAAAAGTTAAATTTCGCGGAAAATAGGATTTTTTTTACGAACGAGAAATGTAGAAAACTTAAAAGAAAAGTGAAACTCTTGTATATAGACATAGGATGATGATAAGAAAAGTAAATCGAATTTGACAAAAGTATGATTCTTTTTCTTTTTTGTAATTGTAAATAGATGATATGTGGAATAAAAGTTAATAAGTTATTTTATTTTCCATGCTTTTTTTTCCCTGTAGTTGACTTTGATGCTCCTCCAAAAACAAAAGTTAGTTCAAAAACACGTGCACCTTCTCCACCAACTGTTCATGTTGGACATAATCGATTAGAAGTACCACGTGTTTCACAATCACTTGATACGATTGCTAATACTACATCAACTGTACCTGTTTCAACTGTACATAATACAGTTCGTTCAACAGTATCAACTGGATCATTTGACTTTCTTCGAGGTCCTCGCCGATGTGTACTCAAAGTTGATCGTAATAAGGGTCTTGGCTTTGTTCTTAGTGCCACCGGTGATTATGATCATACAATTACAGCTGTTGAAAAAGTTCGTAAATTAAATTCAAATTCTATTGATGTATTATGTATTTTCTTTTTTGTTGTTGTTGTTGTTATTATTCAATAGTACTCAGCAGCTGATATCGCTGGTTTACAAATTAATGATGAGGTATTGGAAGTTGATGGTGTTGATGTAAGAAATGTTAGATATGAGCAAGTATGTATTTGTCTATATTTGGAATATAAAATTTTATTTTGAAAGAAGATTTAATAATCATAATAAATACAAAAAAAAAAACAACAGAATATTGTTTCTTATTTTAAAGGTAGTTGACATGCTTGTCTCTGCAATGCGGACAAATGATACAATTGAAATGCGTGTTGTAGATGGTTCTTCTCGTGATGTTTATCCATCAACAACAAATGCTGATAAACAAACAAATACAAATGGTTTATTAAATAGCAATAACAATAATAATAATGCAGTAACATCAACAGCAATTCATTCATCACATCCAATAGGTGTTTCGGGTGATGATTTATCTGATATAAATAGTTCAATAAGTCCATTTGATAGTCTTAATCAACAAAAAATTGCTACAAGTTATCCTAATCTACCTGGACAATTAAAACATCTTGAAAATGTTACTAATCGTGCTTTCGGTGGAAGTGTACCTGCATTGGCTACAGGTATAAATTTATATTATATTTTCTTTGTTTTTTAGTTTTCTTTTATTTTCTAGGAATTACAGCTTCTCCAACTAGTATGCATCTAACAAAACATATTTCAGCTTCATACGAAAGTAGGTTTATTTGTTATTTTCTTTTCTTTTATGAAGTTCACATATATTTTCGGAAAACATAATGAGTGTAAGTTTTAAGTTGAAGTTTTGTGGGTTCCTACCAAGGGAGGAACAAGCAAGGCTTCAGTATTTCGAAGTCTTGCTTTTTCCTTCTTATTCGATACTCACTCATCTTCTCCATTACAGACCTTAGCGATCGAGTTGGTCATTGATTATGTTTTCATATCAATCGAGAACAACAAGCATCGGAATCCTTTTTACAGAGTTTTTTAGCAACGAAACAAAAGGTACTGAACAGAATTAACGATAAGACTTAGATTATTCTAGAGATTTCTAGAATATTCCAAAGTCTTTCTTGAAATTCAAATGACTGGAATACGCTTGTGTATGTTTTAAATCTTGTAGTTTTTGATTTTTGGACAGATAAAAATCTATATTCAAGATGTCAAGTATGATGAGTAGTGATTTGCTACAATAGTCATATGGTCAACATAGAAAGTATGAATTGATCAAATTATAATTTTCAGAAATAATCAATATCAATGTTTCTGAATTTACCGAGATATATAACAGTCTGTGAGTAATTTTTCATTTTACATGTTTTGTATTAGTATAATGAGGCTAAAGAATACATGTGAGTTTTGTGTTTCAACCATAAGGAAGTTTTGTTGTCTGAACTATTGTTATGATAAATTTGTTTTTACTATATATATAGAAGGTTCAATAAATAAATTATCAGATATTTCAACACAAGATGCACCAGTTGCACGTCTTTGTCGTATTCGAAAATTTCCAACATCACCATTTTATGGGTTTTTCTTATGTGGTGATCCAAAAAAACTTGGGTAAAATATAATTTTTTTATTATAATAATTTTTTTCTAATTATATTCTTTGATTTAATTTAGTCGAGTATTCATTTCCGATGTAACAAAACATTCACCAGCAGCTGTTTGTGGTTTACGTGATGGTGATCGTATTATTGAAATAAATGGTTCAAATATTGATGGATTAATATATGAAACTATCTTAGATAAAATAAAACATCATATGGGACGTGATGATCTTGAATTACTTGTACTTGATAAAAAATCTGTTCAATGGTATCGTGAAAGAAATTATCCAATAACATCACGAACATTACCAACTATTGTTCATATTGAACCAATTATTAATGAGACAAATTCAGAAATACAATCTTCAGAAGTACCAACTACACATACGAAATTAGTTGGATTTGCAGGTATATATTTTATTGATTTATCTTTATATAATTCTTATCTAATTATTTAGATCGACGAGTATCAAAAACGGGTCTTTAATATAAATATTTATGAATTATTAACATATATATACAGAGTTCTAAATACTTGCCTCGTTTTTTTTATTTCTTCTGTATACAATGTGTTTATGTGCCTGTATGTTTTTACTTTCTTAATCAAAAACAAATGAAATATTATAATATTATTTGTAGCGTGTAGTATTTTCTTTTTTCTTTCTATCAGGAATTTCGTCATCTGCCTCACATGTTTTTGTTCATTTTTTTTTAAAAATTTTATCATATCTTTTGTTTTTTCTGTGTACGTTTATCCATTGTCCTTTTCTTTCTTGTTTTGTTTTGTTTTTTTTGTCTTAATTCTTCTTTTACTGCTTTATATAGTTCTATTGTATGTAAGAAGACAGAACAATAGATAGTGAAGTATTTGCACATTTACACGTACATGTGAGGGGTCAGATTTGCTCTAAGTTTTGCACGTTTTTTTTTTTCTTCTTGTTCTTTTCTAATTCATTTTTATTGTTCATTTTCGTATAGTAATATTCTGGCCACTTGATTTATGAAATTTAACATATGTCTTTAAAACAAATCTTAATGAAATGAAAATGAAATCTTTGTCATGTAAAATTTTACTCAAGATAAAAAAAAAGAAAAAAAACAGAAGTAGTTTTAACATTTTTACTAAAATGTGAAATTTAAGTAAATAGAAGTTATCATCTGAATATTTAACTTTTCAGAAATGTTGTTTTTTGTTTATTATAAATTCTCTTGTCTTCTTATAGTATAGAATGCCTACCTTATTGTACCAAAAGATGTTCAAAAAAATAATAAAATTTCATGAAATTAATCGTACAAATACTTCTTATTTTGTTTTTCAATGAATTTTTTTTTTTGAGTAAGATTGCTTTTGTTTTTCTACAAAATTTTAGTGAATAAATCAAAATGACAATGGTATATATTGATAGAATGGATTGAATAATATATTTTTGGCAAGAAATAAATATGAACTGAAACTTAATTATAGACATTTACACACGAACCAGAGAATTATAGTTGAAGAAGATATAAGGCTGGCTGGAGAAAGGTCGAAAATTTCAACTAACAAGACATTGTTTATTTTTAGCATAGGGAGTGTGATCTAGTCTTTCCTTTAATTACAAAGGTTATGAAAGCTTTTTAATGTTGAATTCAAGAAATTCATATAATTTTACGCATCCTACCGGCATAGAATAATACCTATCATGAGGTAGTTCAAACTAGATCTAATTAAAAAAAAAAACATGATGAATATTATAAAGTAACAGACACTTGATCTGGAAATATTAGAACAATAATGAAAAATGAAGTTAAAAAATGTTATGAGAGACAAAACGTAATTATTATTACAAAAGAACTCTGAAAAAAAAACCCACATTTTAGATGTTTTGACAAACATAGAAATTAATATTCATTTATCTACAACTCTTTTATAAGTTATATTCATCGTTTTAAAGACGTAAAATTGTAGAAAATGTCCTGAATTCGACATTGAGAAGCTTTCATAATCTTTGTAACAATTTCACAGAATTTTTTTTCTAAAAATAGTAAAAATGGTTTTTGCATGTGATGAATTAAATATGGAAATTCATATCCTTGTAGAATATCATTTTACATTTTTCGAAAGAAAAAAAGATTTATCTGATGTAAGTTCTAATTTTAGGCACTATAAATTTTTAGTTTGTAATAAATGTCTTCTGATTTTCAGAATACGAAAATTTATTTTATCTTGGTCTCGAGATCGCTTATTTTTTTCAACATCATCAATTTCACATTTAAAATCAAAGAATATACAAATTATCGTAGACTTTGAATGCATGGATTATGAGAGTTTTGTTTTTCTTCTAAAAGAAAACTAAAATTATCAAATAAAATCTTTAAATATTTTATCTGTCGACAAAATATTGAAAATAAATTCCTATACAGTTCTATACAAATAAAATCATATATTTAGATCATTTAATGAACATAATAAATTTGTTTCTATATATGACTATTGCAAATTACATTAAAATGACATAAAGCGTTGTCTAAACAATGACATAAATCTACAGAAGTCCATAAAAAGAAGAAAAAAAAAAGAATTTAATACATATATATGTACATTTTTATTTATTTAAGGTGATTCTGGTTCATTTTCATCATATGTATGAAGTCCATACATTTTAAGTTGTTCAAGAAAATCAGTTGTTGTCCAATTATTAATTAGATTTTGATCATTTAAAAGACGATATATATTAGCTATTTGTTGTTTTTGAATTTCTTCTTCCGAACCTTCAATAGTATCAATTAATATATCATCTGATATTTGTTCATTATTATCTATTGTATCTCCATTTATATTTTCTTCTTCTAAACAAATGTCAATTTCTGATAATGATCGACTATTATTAGTATTATTTGATTCGTCAGTTGTTATTAATGGCAATGATTGTTCTATCGATTGTTCTGTTGTTGGTGTTACTGTAATCGGCTCGTCTAGATCTTCGTAATCATGATTGTTAAGAACACATGTACTATCATCAGACGATGTATGTTGACGACTTGTCGAATATTTATAAAAGGCTGATGCAAGAATAGCACAAAGAAATGAGATAAATACGACAAGAACACTAAGACCTGAACTAAGACAAAAATTTACCAGAGCACATCTAAAATAAATAAAATAAGGTTAAAAAAAAACAAAATATATATAATTCTAAATTATAATACATACGATGATGCCCAAATAAATTCACCAACTGCACTTATAATAATATCCATTAATATATTGTTGTTGTTGTTGTTGTTGATCAATATTCATCTTTATAGTAAACGGAGAGAATGAAAATAAGACTCTTATTCATTACTTGTTTTTCTTGCAAAATCATAGTATTATATATTTTGGATTAAAAGAAATAATTTTCATATTGAATTCATGCGGAAATAAGAGGATGTCAAGTTCGTTTACTTGGAATGAAAAAAAAATATATATGAAATGCTTATGTAATGCAACAGTAAGGTGATAAACTAAACAAATGAATAAATGAACGATGCCATTCTTCGATTGCAGTCGTCTCTTTTTTCTTTTTCTCTTTTTCTTATGAAAAGAAACAACTCGTCGCTTAGAATTTCTTCTCTCCCTTTCTCTTTTACGTTCTATAATAAAGCAAGCAGTCAGAACTGAGTTTTTCTTTGTACTTGTTCAAGTAACAGTTCTGCAAAAGGAAAAAGAAAGAGCAGAAAAAAAGAACCAATATAAGAGAGAAAAAAAAGCGAAAGCTTATAATTCTGTTCTTAATATCGTTTCTACCAAATTTCCTTCCTTATGCTTTTCTTTGCACGCATGCGTATAATTATTGCACTTACCTGATATAAGTTACTCTTTGTCTCACCATTTTTCTCTATTCGTTATAAATAATATATGTTATTATCGATATTACTATAACAATTCTTTTCAAAGTTTCATATAACATCCAGTAAAATCATGTAAAATATAACAATAAATGTGTAGGATAAATGAAGATAATTTCAATTTTTAAGAAAAAACAATATAAAGAAAGTAGATTATCTATAAACAGATCAATAAGACAAGAGATAAATTTTCTTTTTCAAGTTTTACTATTCAGTAAAATCAGAATAGTTCTCGTTCGCATCAAAACTCAATTATGTAGAAAAATGTCGTTTTTTTTCCTCCTCATTCTTGCACATTTTGCCTTGCCATTTCTATTGCTTATTCTAGCTCATCTCGCACGCGACTATTGTAGATTACGAGAATTTTTCATGCTATTCTCTTTCTTCTTGTCTTGGTATTTTCCTATCAGCGTATGTGTACAAGGTTGTCAACTCAAACATATATATATAGCAATATGATTAACAAGATTGGTTAAGAAAATAGTGAAGAGACATTATCTTCTTAGTTTTCTTACTTACCGGATTGATATTCATTCGTGCTGAATGATAAATTTCCTGATAAACTACTATGACGACCTTCCTGTTTCTTAAATGAATTCAGTTGAGAATCTATTTATGTAACTGAAAATCATTGGATGAATATATTGACATATTCCTTGATTAAACTTTCCTAATATAGTCCAGTCAAACAAAACAATATTAAAATCGACAATAAAATGAAATACTTAATTATAAAATATTTTCTTAAAAAAAAAACAATGACAAAATATCGTTTTTAATTACTTTATTCTTATTTCGAATTTTATTGTATATGTTTCTTAGTCATAGTTAAATATGAAGAATTTTGAATATGAATCAATATACATAATGAAATAATTGATATTGAATACAATTCTATGCTTTAATTCGACTTCACTAGATCAAAGTTAAATATGAAAAAAGTTACAAACAAACAAAAACAGATTGAATGTATTGTTTGCTATTCTTATTCTAACGGAAAAAAAACAAAAATTCTTTTATTTCATTATTCATCTATTATTGAAGTAAATAATAATCACTTTTAATGGAAATTCGATGCATGATTATAATATTATTTTACTTCTTACTGTTAAGAAATACTCATATGAAAAGATTAAATAGCATTGAAATATATTTATCGCAAAGTCCTAATATTAGTTAATGAATAGGATTCTTTGAAAAAGTGAGATGATTAGATATATGAAAAACAATTACAACATCGCTAATTTATATAACATAGAGTTTGACATATGACAGAAAAAAGAAAACGAAACTGTTTTCAATTTTCCGATTAGATAGAATCATATTGATGATCTGAAGATATCTGATAGAAATTATAATCTAATATTGTATGATGGCATCGAATGATAAAACCAAATTTATACGGTGAAGATATTTTTTGCTTTAAATAAATATGTATTATAATTGAAACATATGGTAATTCTATTGTATATACTAATACAGACAATATTGTTTATATATTAGCAATAATCTCCTAAGTTTTTGATTGTTCTGCTAGACAAATGGATGAAAAGAGAATAATAATATGTTTCAATTTTGAGCTTGCATTACTTAACAAGTTCATATGTCATCAAAGCTATATCATTTTTATTTTTATATGTAATTATTGAACGTTTTTAGCAAAGTTAATTATAGATATGTATTGAATAATTACTTAAACTTACAACAAGAACATAGAGCATTTTACAAAACTAATCGACCATCTTTCCGATATTTATAAAAGAGACAAGTTCTTTCAATAGTCAAAATCACAGGCTCATCTAGAAATAAAATATATAATTAGTATAGTTAGTTATAACTAATCATATACAAAATATTTATGTAGTTTTGAATAAACAATTAGAATTGCCTTGAATGATAGATAATTTAAGTCAATACTAGTTTACTAGTCATTGTTTATGTCATATTGTATAAAATGGCATAATTCTTTTGTTGTTTGATAGATTTTATTTAAAATATATAGTATAATTATAGAAATATAATCATTACAATTGATGTTGAATCTATTTTTACATACTACAAAGAAATACAAATGCGTCATTACTATTTAGTCATTTCACCTATGTGTAACTGGAAATTATAAAAAGAACTATTTTTTAACTTTAATCGAAGATTATTAGAGATCTTCAATTATATTTCAACATTAAACAGATAAAAATATTTTTCTTTTCTATTTAAAGTAAAAATGTATTAATTGCATTTCGAAAAACTAATGAAATCGAGAAATATCGTACATTTTGATATTATAACAAGTAGTGACATTAAAAAATATAAACTGAAATCAATTATCTTTATTCAAGATATAACTTCTTGTGTGAACGATCAGAACTTCTATTTGATTTATTATTAATTCATATATACTTTTCGTGTTATTTATTCGTGTATCGGCACAATATTTCTTTTTATTGACATTTGAAAGTTTAATAAAAGAACTTAGCGGTAGAAAAATAAAGAAAAAAAAAACATCGATTTAATCCAAGATTAATTCTATCAAATATCATGAACATTTGTAAATGTTTAGTCTTGAGTTTTAAACTCAGTATAGGTCTCGTTATCGAAAAACAGTATTTCTAAAATGTCTTTGAAATGAAGTTAAAAATAAAGTATTTGAAAAAGTTCAATTTAAATCAAGATTAATCTTCTAATTCAATTAATCAACATTTATTTCTCATTGAAAAATTCAAAATAAAATTGATAACAAACTCAATTATGAGTCATAATAAATATGTATAAAAAAATATAAATATAAAGATGTATGATCTTCCTATTATATTTCTATTTTGATTATAAACAATTATTGTTCTTCTGTTTTCCTTACTTTCTTTTGTTTTTCTTGTTTTATATGATTCAAATCTTGACAGATTAATGTTGCATCTGTAGAAAATCACATACTTTTATTTTTTCTTTCTGTTCAATTTGTAAATCACTAGAGAATAATATCAAGTTAAAACTCTGTAAACCATAATATTCAACGATTTATCACTACTAATAATGACCAATTGACATTTATCTTTTTCTGCATCATTTGCATCGTCAATAGTGAACTGCATCGGAGTCATTTCGGAGTCGTCATCGGAGTCAAATAAATTTCTTGCCAAGAATTCATTTTTAGCATTAGAAAGTTTTTGACTTGAAGATTTTGTTCTCTGATATTTTCTCTACAAACTGATGAATTTTGAAGATCCAATCGATGCCTTATCGAGGGTTTTTGTCACGGAAGAAAGTCGGAGTCATAAAAAATCGGAGTCAATTCGGACTCCGATTTTCTTTCCTGACCGTAACCCTCGATAAGACATCGATTGGATCTTCAAAATACATCAGTTTGTAGAGAAAATATCAGAGAACAAAACCTTCAAGTCAAAAACTTTCTAATGTTAAAAATGAATTCTCGGCAAGAAATTTATTTAACACCGATGACGACTCCGAAATGACTCCGATGCAGTTCACTAATCGTCAATGATATCATGTTTATTATCAGTAACTAAAAAAAAACTTAGAATCGATGCAACACTAACATTTATTAAAATGACAAAACAGTATCAAAAATTCAATATTGATTTGATATCTATTTTAAGCAATAGAATAGAGAATGTTTGACATATTACAATTTGAACTGAAATACTTGTTAAATTAATCAATTACTACGCTCTTTGTTTTTTAAACAGTTTTAAAGTTTGACGAATAAACTTATAAAAATTTTAATACGTTATCAATTTCTCTAAGAAGAAAATGAATTGTTGATTAAATCTAGTTTTACATCTTCGATTGATATCATCAACGATTTGAACTTTGAACTAATTTAAGTCTAGAAAAATATATTTTCCATCGTAATCTCATTATATAAAAATTCTCTAATAATACTGTTTCTATTCTTATTATCAACTAACGACATTTCAGTGAATTCATGTAAAAAGTCAACTATTCGTATGCTTCATTGCTATGACAAATGCTATTAATAATTGTTCTGTTTTTCATCAAATTAAACCAATAAAGGATATATAACTGAAAGAAATCTAAAAATCTTTTAGTTATAATAAAGAATCTTTTATCAAAATAACAGTAAGCAATACCAAATTAATTGTAATCATAAATATGAGATATAAAACAATCCTAGAATTAATTAATTATGTTTATTAATATAATGCTAGATTTCATTCATGTTAAAGTTTGTTCTGAAAAGAAACAGCTTATTTCATAACCCTCATTAAGTCAATTAGATTTTCATAAACTATAATTTCAAAAAATTAAAATTTATTCTTATGTAATTTGAGTATTAATTAAATAAAATTTCTGTTACTTAACAGAGCTCAACTTTGATATAATAAAAGCATTTATGCCAAGTAGAAGTATTATTTAAGATTAATAATTATTAATAAATAATGAATAGCAGTTGCTTCTACATATTATATAATAATGGTATTATATGCATCATTTATAGTTCAAATAATGGAAACTTTTTTTTTCTATCATTATAGTTTAACAAAACAAAAAAAGAATAGTTGAAGCAAGTAGGAGTTATTTTCAACAGTGTACCTGTATGACAAAATGCAGCGAACGTTGGCTTTGGTTAATAGACTTAATTTCTAGTAGATGAAGCACATATTTCTTTTTTTCTTATTGTTACTAAATAATCAAGATGATGTTTTAATATGAATTAGCTTATGACTTCTATTCTTCTTATTTATTTTCCTACATCTAAAATAGTCTTAAGAAAAAAAATCAGTAGGTTTTTTTTATTAACTTGTTTGTATTGAATTTTGTCTTGCAAGTGAACATTGCTGATTCATACACATGATTTTTCTTGTTTGTAGATTGAGATGGATAATTTCAATATGTTAAAATTTTAAAATCTCGCTTGGCATTTAATGAATCTAGTATTTAGAACGACGAATAAACCAGATTTAGAAAAACATCAAACGATTTCGAATTGGACTCAATTATTTATGAAAAAAGACAATATTTTATAAAATAAATAGTATTATTTTGTTATCATTATCCATGATTAAAGTCTCTCAGTACATAGAGAACAAAAAGTAACCGTGCATATTGTTGACTTGAAACTCTGTTCACCAGATGAATGGAATATAGATTAAATCTTCCGAATAGAGTCATACTTTCTTTGTCTTTTTCTTGTAATTATTCATTTGATTTCACCAAAAGAAAAAGTTATTATAGAAAATTGAAGAGAAGGAAAATCATGAACTTTTACTTGAGCATTCATTCGATTGTTCTTTAGAATTGTTCTTCGACATTCTTAGATAATATATATTCGGAATAATTTTGCTCATTTGTCGAAATATTTTTATATTATAAAGAATTATACATATCTACTAAATATCTGTTAATATTGATAACACGATATATAAGAGTATAGAAGTTTATCTACTAAAATTATGTTATTATAAATGAACGTTATTCATCACTATGTCATTCTCTATTCTAGTATTATCGTTTGTCGTTAAAATTCGATATTCTGTCTATGATCCTACGATTACCTTCTTAGTCCAGCGGATTAGATTCTTCAATCTATAGCATGAAAAGTGACAAGAGCTTTCTAATGAATCGTTGAGATTCTTGTAGAAAACAAGCTTCTGTGTGCATCTGTAAATAACTGCAATTCATAGAATGTATACTGTTAAAGTGTACAGACATCGTCATTTCTCTTATCTTCAATGGAGTGTTGTAAAATGCCTACATTTTCGATCTGTTTTTAGAGGATCTTCGTTTTTTTTTCTATTAGTTTTTATCTTAAAGAAATTACTTCCGTAAGATTATTTCTCTTTTGAGAAATAACAATAAACGCAATGCTTGTCTATTTCTGTTATCAATAAGTAAAATGGATCTTCGTAAATAGATCCGCTCCTCCCTTTTATGGATAGCAAAATAGCGAAGAAACAAATGATCAACATTTTCTATGTAAAATAATAAGACATTTTTCGTATGTAAATGTTCGCTTTGGTTTCGTAGAACGCACTTGTCAGTCGCTTTATATTTCATATATTTTCAAATTATTTCGAGTATGTTCTTTTTCTCTAGAAGACGTGTATTATGAATATCTAATTTGAATTCATTTGTCTTGATTGAACAAAACTAAGTTTTTAGAAGAGCAATTACTTTTCTGTTTTTGATTTCCGCGTCATACTATTCATTTGCTAGAGTATCTATATACATATATGATCTTCAAGTGAAAAATAAATAATTCTATAAACGCAATATACGCCATGATTTATGCATTTTCTTTTGCTACAATATTTATTAGTTTTTTGTACTTTGATGCAATTAAGTAAAGTATTTACACAAATGAAGTATCATAGGAACATATAAAACAGCACTAATCCAAAGAAAACATATTGTTATTTGCTTAGGTTGTATATTGAACCTAGTCCAAAAGTTATGTTGCATAATTTTGAATAAGACTAAGATGATAAGATTCTAGGAACATTTCGTTGTCATCTGTATATGCAGCATGCTTAACTTCTGAAAATTACACATGAAGAACCGATCTTGTTTATCATTATTCTGTATGCTATATTAGTTATACAGACAGAGTTTTTCGTTAGTTTCTGCTTGAAATGTTAATTGTTCTATTCGATGAGACAGATCATTTGTAATATGTATTACGAATAGATTACCTTGTGTCAATAATTTTTATCGAAGTAACGATTAGTACATTGCAATGTTCATCATAAGACAGATACTATAGAAAACTATCGATTTATTAATGGCTCAACAAGAAATAGAAATTATGAACTGTTGACAATTTGACATAATTTGACTTCATAATGATAGAGGTATCGAAAATTATAGTTCACTAGCTTATTTGAACGAATCATTTGATACAATCATGAATGTTTCATTTGAAGCATTTATAAAATTGCAATAGACACGTTCATACAATAGATCAATGGGATACTTTTGAAACACTATTAAATCGACTATTTATTGGAACTTAAGCAAAACATATACAATAGATGAGGTATATCGAAACTATGAAAAATTGAATCTGTTTAAGGTAGAGAAATATTCTTCTTCTATTTATCGTAGATATACTCATATAATTATTTAGTTGGATAAACATATTAATAATTTATTATTCTATCAGAAATGCAAACAAGTTTGCTAAGTTATAATTAATACGCAATGAAAGTTTGTTTAACTATGGTAACATTGAAAAAATTAAAATCTGTATTTAATTTTGTTGGTGATTATACTGATAAATTCAGAGATATTTTACTTGTCGATTTAAAATTAGATCACTCACTTTTAGTGAATCATTTCATAACATTTCACTAATGAATTTTCTCAATTACGTATATTTTATCATAAACAGAAAAACAACTTCTTCCAAAGTATCATACATATATGTTCTCTGTTTGAATATACACTATTATTGCAAGTAAGCATTTAGTTTTATTGAAAGATAAAAATTTAGATATAGATACTGCGTTTGAATTATTCGATGAGATGAAAACATAAAACTAGAAAACTGTACAATACTACATAATAGCTACTTAACTTTTATTAATACTCTTCCATAAAATATTATCTGATTCAAAAGCGAACTTGATCATCGCAAATAACTCATAGAAGAAACGCACAATGAGGTAATTGAAACCTCTATTGAAAGATTTCTTTCATTATCTATTACAAACAATCATAATGAGTTCATCCTCAAATTTCCTCAACAGTATGTAGATATACTTAAAGAGTTTTCAATATTGAAGTATTGTTAGACAACCGTGCAGGATCTTCTTGTTTTGCATATCTTTTTATCAGTTATATATCAGGTATAAAAATAGAATTTTAACAAATGAGAAAGAAAAGTAACATTGCAACATATCAACAGCCAAAAATTTGTATACAAAATAGTTTGTTGACTTATTATTTTTTTTACATTTAAAACTATTAAAAATAATTTTACGTCAAAGGTTAAAATTCTCAATTTTAAGATCTTTGCTGTTTTCTTTCTACAAACATACAGAAATTTCTATGATTGGCAATAATAATGATTTGAAGACCTGTCATTGTTCAACATATGTTCCAATCAGTCATTTATTCTCTTTCGTGTCATATTGACGTTGATATTGCATTCCTAAATTAACTTTACCACAAGAAAGAATAATATTATTAAATAGAAAGTGTACTGACTTATTGATTTATTAATGCAATATAAAAATAGTTCAAAATGATCATATATTAATGAGCTATTTAGTAATTTATTTTCTGTTCTTTTTTCAGTAAAATATTTCTCTTTTGTTACGTGATAAGAATAAATATTATATATCTATTTAATTAACGGTACAAGTAACATAAGAAATGCATATGAAAGAATTCATTTAGATATGATCATTAACAGGAGATTGTTTATGTTCAATATAAAAATAGTAAATAAATAAATGAAATGATCTTATCTTAGTAGCAAATTTATTGATTAAAAACTACAATTCTTTTCAAAAAAATTAAAAAAAGTAAAATTATGGCGCGAATAAATCATGAATTTTCTTTAATTGTAACTATTTGAACTTATTGATTTTATTGGATAACACTAATTTATTATACGTGACAAACATTGCAGTGAATTGAAGTATTTCTTCTATGATATATTATTAAGTCATGATATGAATTAGTTATTAGTTGATTGTTCAAAATTAGAAATGATTCAAATGATGGAGAGTGGTGATAAATATTCTATGTCTAAGATACATGTTACTCGAATAAGTACATCTCTTACACAGATGGTAAAATAATTTTTAAGACAAGACTTACTTGATATATATCAAAATAATTCTTTTTTGTTTTACAAATTATTGATAAAATTTTTTTGATTTCTAAATTTGTTTTCTTCTATTGATTTTATAGAATTCTCATGAAGATAATCTATCACCTAATATTTTACTTACAAAATTAAATATTCCATTAAATTGTCTTGATAATTATCAAATTCGACAACATTATCTCGAAGAATATTCAGCTAAATATTCTAAAGCAAAACATTTATTAAACAATGCTCGTAAAAAACAACGAAGTAGATATATTTTATTCTGTATAATGCATAAAATATTTATTTTGTGTGATATTAAAAAAATTTTTGTTTTTCTTTTTGAGAAATTATTATGACTTATTATGAAGCAAAAGGAAAAGAAAATAATATTGATGAACTACAAACAATTAAAGAATCATTGCTTGAAGAAAACGAAAAAATTAAAAAATTTAAAGAAGCTTTAAAAGATAAACTTATTATTTATCAACAACGTATACAATTTCTTAAAGTATATAATCAAACGTTTTAGATACTATCTTGATCTTCTTAACGTAAAATTTTCTTTTAATATAAGGACACTGAATTTTGGTCAACATTTGAAATTCAACAATTACAAAGTAATACAACCGAATCCATTGAAAATTGTACAGAAAAGTAAGTCATCTATCTCACTTTCTCCTATAGGAATCAATAAACAATAATAATAAACTTTAAAAGTTAGTTAGAAAACTTCGATTAAGATCCATCCATTAAGGATGGCGTCCAGGAAAAGGAAGGAATCAGATGTATCTACACGTTTGGACACTTATGACGATTCTTTTGTTAATTTTTAATCCATTACCGTCATAACAATTTCAGAAGAGCCACTGATGAAACAACCATTGGAATAGAATACTAGTGTTTTCGATATATCTACAGTATGGATAGATCGATCAAGTGCACTCTTGTCCGTGACGATAGTTTGGTCACTCTAGTAAGGCTTTCCGTAAATCTATTATAGTTCGATCGAAAACGCTGTAAAGAATAATTTGCTCTATTATTTCGTGTGATGTGAACAAATTTTATGCTCAACTTGCAGGCGCTGAAAAACTAAAGGTTTGGTTTCTTGGAAAGTCCATAGTGATCATTCTATGTCTTACCATCTCTTACCTACCTAGCTTTTGTAAAACTTTCGAATGGTATTGATGCCAATAATAGATATTGTCATCATTATGTATCACACAATACATATCCATCATATATCTTGTTTGTTGGTAGAAAAACATTTTATTTTAAAAAAGCCAATTTTTGCGGTTTTTTCAAACTTATTGACTTTGTAATTCATCTTTTTCGAAATATGTTTTCAAAATATTTTAATTCCATTTTTTTCTTTATTTTCGGTAATCATTGTACAAATGGTTACGCCAATGACTAAGAGAGAGAGAGATAAAAGGTTAGGTATTTTTCGCAAATTCTCCAACTTTAATTAGTTTTGAGCAGCATTTCAAAAAAAAAGTTTTTCAGAATCCTATGACGAATCATCTAAGAATAAATCATCTATATCAGTCGTTTAATACGAACAGAACAGTATATTACAACAAATAGGTCCTTTCTAAAAAAATTTTGGAAACTGGATGTCTAGTGAAGGTGAGTCGAAACTGGATATTTCTGAACAGTAAAGAGAGAGAGAGGGATCAAAAAATGTGGTTTTTTCCTGAGTGACACGACAGATAGTCTTCCGACACTTGATTCTAACATAAGGAACAAATTAAAGTAACATAAGATAATAGTTTTGTTTGATTAAGTCCATATTCACATGAAAAATTGAGCAGAGTTCTTGCTCAACTAGAGGTTCATATTTAACATGTTTCTTCAGTTTTGAGTATAGGCATTCGTCTTCTCTCGACTGACACTCCCCTGAAGGTTGGTATTGTACTATTAAAATACTGCTAATTTCTTATGTATCCCCCTTAATACAAGAGCTTATCCATTACTGATCAGAATTCAGCACGAGAAAATTCATCAATTTATAAATCTATCAAAGATTTGAAAATGGAACTACATATGAATTTGATAATGACTGAACGATTGTAAATCGAACTAATAAAACTAAAGAAACATATTAAATATCAACTTCTTGATTTCGACTTTTCATTTGATAATAAGAGACTTGTACTCTTTGTCTGAATGTCTCTTATAGATAGTCTCTTATGATTTGTATGATATAATAAAAGATTAACTAATATAATCATCTGAGAATACAATGAATAAATATAAGTCATAAAATAACCTTTATTCTAGTTCTCCAAAATTATCTACGACCAAAGATAGTCTTCATCTATTACATGGTAAAAACAGGAATATATTTTTTTGTAATTTTAAATATTTCTTTTTAGATCTTGAACAAATAAAATATTCAGTGTAAGATTAAGAAAATTTCTTTTTGTCTTATTATATTTGTTTTTTATTTCTTCAGTAATCTTCTCGATAATTTATGTCCAACTAATACTAATGAATATTATTCTGAATTAAAATTACATGAAGATAATTTTTCTCCTATAATTAATAATGAAAGTAATATTATCTCACATCTAACAGATGATTATAATCTTAATGAAATCACTTTAAAACATTCACAACAGTAAGAAAAAAATTAATCGTTTTTTTTTTCAAGAATAAAAATAAATAATTTCAGATTACATACTAAATTAATATCTAAAGTAAGTAAATTTATATTGAAAATATTCAACAATTTTTAAATATTTGTTCATCATAAGTATAATCTAAAGATATTTTTACGAAATTTTATCTTTTATATTGTATAACATTCATGTATATTGATTCTTAATGATTAATATGATAAGATAGATGATTAAATATCCTCTTGTATAGAATGATTTTAGTATGGATTATCTTGTTTTAAGTATATTTATTGATGATAAATTAAGAAGTAAATGTCATGTAAATGAACTATAAGGTTATTGAATAAGAATAATCAATAATGATGGTAATCTTTGATATACTTTTAATTTTCATAAACAATCATCAAAAAAAAAATTTTTAAACATTTTTTTTTTTTGAATCAATAATTAGATTTAGATCAAGTTGATGTTCCTCTTTTTTTGTTGAAGAATAATTCTTTTGTATATATATATATATATATATTAATCCGATTATTAATAATCCGTAAATAAAATATATTAAAAACTATCATCGATTGTTTGATAAGTAATATTAATATAATTCTATGCAAATTAACATTTAAAATAAAAACGTGCTTCTTGAAAGATTGAGTATTCACATAAGTGATGTATGTTATTTAATGTCAACAGAACGTTTGAGTAATTGAACACAACTACTTTTTATATCAACCAATAGGCGCACATTTATGTAATAAAGAACAGTTATTTAATGACTGACATAAAAGAGTATTAAATAGAAATCAAACTCATGGATTCATTAATGCAAGATCTTTATCAGTTTCGTGCATATATTGCATTAAAAATTAGAATGATGATCATTATCATCTATGTTTTTTTGACCCTTGATTTGATGTGTAATCGTATGTTAATGATGTATTCAGCAAGTATTAAGAGAAAAAAAACCTAAGAATTTTACGTTCTAATTTTTAAATGTAAAGCAAAATTAAATATTTATTTTTAGATTGATGAAAATCTTGATAGTTCAATATCAAAGAAAAGAACAAGACATTATTTTCAATGGTTAAAAAACAATTGTCAATTTATTTTTATGTTAACATCAAATGATCAATTCGATCGATTTAAAATTGCTAGGTTAGTAAGTGAACACAAAAAAAACACATTTATAATTTATTATTTTTCTAACAAATAAATATAATCAAAATAGATAATTATGTCTGTCAAGAAAACACAATTATGTAAATAAATATTATATATATACATATATATTTATAATAATTGTATCATTGAGTCATTGCCTTAGGATATGGCTGATGTGTTCATTTCGATTAATTCTATTAAATAAACAATAACATTTATATTTTACTATTATTTAGTTTTACTGTTTTAGTATGATTCTAATGTTGAGTCTTGTTATATTTATTGTTATATTTCTTAATAATTTACTTGAATTTTTTCTGATATATTTAACAAAACCATCGATATCGATTACAACATTATCTTCTACAAATTCCATACCAATATCATCATTTACATATTTATTATCCAATATTTATAATTGGACAATTTCATGGTTATTACCAATTTTTCGTATATTTAAATATTCTGTTTAGTAACAAAATATCTAATTGCTGAAACTTTTATTTATTTGACTGTTTGTTGCTAATTACATGTCAATCATAACAAAATCTATATAGAAAAGATATTATATGCAATATGAAGACACATAATCAAGGAACTGATGATGTTTCAAGTTTGTTTTCATACTTGTCATCTTGATGATGAGTTTATCTTACAGTTGATATTGTTAGTTCTCGTTCTGTTTTGTGTATGTATAAAGATCAAAAGAAGATATATACTAGTTAATTTTTTTTGCTTCTCTGTCTTTCTCATCTTCACAAGTTAGATGTCTGATAGGCTTTAGCGGCACAATGTTTATTATGTATATGTCATAGCGAACTCTTATTATTTGCATTCTAGAATTGTTTTAAAATGACTTTAGATCAATGAAATATCAAATAATTATTAATTAATTGATGATATTAATATTTGTAGTTTGATTTTTTATTTTAAAAACATACATATCATTTTTCTTTTAAATAAACATAGAAGAATTTATTCGAAAAAACAAATTGTGTTTTCTAATTGTCGATTTATTCATTTGACATTAAGTTTAGTTGATACTGAAATAGATCTTTACAATACTACACTCTATTTTTAATAATATATAAGCATAAAATTCGAATAATTATTGTATTCAAAGATTTTTAACCGTTTCTCACATCTTTTGGACTATGGTTTTCTTTTGATACAGTCAAAATATTTTATATACTACGAAAGATCGATCCGACTGTTTGAATATATTTCATAAATCTCAAAAACAAAAGAATCCTTATAAGATCTCGCTTATTGCTTCCTGAGATCACATGTTACTTCTACTTCTTTATCTACTATTTGTCGTATGATATCCGTTTGATATATGCATCGTTGAAAAGATTATCTTTACTGGTATACATTATTTCGAACTCATACGTAAATAATATGAAAAATCAGATGATGTCTTTATTTGACTCAATGTATTGTTTATATGAGAGTGTAATATTGTAGAGATCTATTCCATTAACGATAAACTTTAATGTCATCCAAATAGATCGACAATCATATAACGTATTAATAAAACATAATCTTTGTTTTTTTTTTGTTCTGAATAAATTCTTTTATGTTGATTTATAAAAACTGATATGTATATGTTTTATTAAAAAAAAAATGAAAAATTATTAGTATCATCAATTAATGAATAATTATTTAGTATTGAGTTGACCTGAAATCACTTCGAGACAATTATAGAATGAAGTTATAACTTTGTCAATCGATGTCATTTCGATATGACATATATATATATATATATATATGCTTCTGGCGAGAATGTAAGATTCATCAAGGTTTTTCGATTACTTCTCTTGACTATTGTCGTTGAGTCTCATATTTATGTCATATATACATATTTTTCATTACTTAACTTATTCTGAAAGTTCTAGCTCTAAAGAATGAGAATTTGTCGAGAAAACTACAAATATGCTTTATGTACTCATGTACTAGTGAAACTAAAATTTGTTGTTCTGTATATCTCTCTGTTACATTATATTTCATTAAAGAAGTTGATTAGTAGTTAGTTGTATTTTAAGCATGACTTGCAAAGAGAAAAATCTCAAGATGTTTCCTTTGTCAGTGATACTCAAAATATAAGTAACTACTACTCAAGATCTTATATACAAAATATCAAGTAATAGAAAAATATGTAGAACAATAAATTTTAGTTTCACTAACAGATAAATTTGTATTTTTTTTTTTCGACAATTTTTTATTCAATACAGCTACAACTCTAAGAATAAGTTCAATAATCGAACATGTGTATGTGATATAAATATGAAACCTAACGACAATGATGAAGAAAAATAATCAACAAAATTATATATGTCGTTTATTTTGACCATAGGGATATATATATACATCTGCTATTTCCGTGACGTTAACGTACATAAGAAAAGCGATGTAGTAAATGATAGTTGTCCCTGGAGCTCATTTGTCAATCATCTTCATGTCGACTTGAATGCATTGTAAATATCTCCTTATGATACTATGTATATTCTACTTTTTTTCTCTTGTCTATAACTTTTCTGTTTCTCGGTATAGCCCATCCATCTTCATCACTAGTCTACATGATATACTCAACAATGAAAAGTATCAGCTGTTATGATTTATTATAAATATCTTCCAATAGATTTTTTAATTAAAAAACAATGAAAAGTATAAGTATTTTAATATTTGAAAAGAAAAAAGATTTCAATAAGAATGAGATTCACTCGTGCATGAACCATATCTGAATTAAATCTTTCATTTATTTTTTTATTTTCTTGTTCATTTTTTTAAACTTTTAAGTATTTGCTAGGGTTGTTCTTGCCACATTGTAATATATTAAATAGGTTTTTTTCACGTAAGAAAATTAAGTCGTTGCAATAAGATTATTTTTTCTTCTCTTAAGAACATGCGTGCATAATGAAGTACGTGAGGATTTAATTGTTGGATGGTATTGAAAAGATCTTTTCTATATATTTAAAATTATTTGAATAAAATGATTAGAAAAGTCAATTTAACTAAATGTATGACATTTATTACTTAACATTTTAATAAAATAAAAAGTTCACTCGTTTTTTATTGAATTATTTTTGAATAAGAAATTAAGGTGTACTACCTCTTTGTTTGATGCTTTGTGTTTTCTTTCTTCTTCTTGGTTTGCTTCTTGTTCTTCTTCTTCTTCTTCTTCTTCTTCTTTTTCCCGCATAAGTTTCCTTTTCTTTGCTCTTGCTCTTTTTTCTCAGCATCTTTCTTTCTATTTTTTTTCTCTTTCTTTTCTATCAACTCTTTTTTTTTTAGTCGTTTTCTTTTCAATAGTAGTTCGGTACGCGTCCGCCATATATCTTTCTGTTGCTTCCGCAGTTTCTCTAAATCTTGTTGTACGTCGAGCTCATTGATTTTTCTCGAAAAGTCGTCAACTATTTTTCTTCTTACAAACGTATGTAAATAAGACATATACAATGATAAAAAAACAAAAAAAAAACCTTGACAAATATCCGTTGTTCAAGAAAAAAACTCAAATGCATCTGCCGGTAAATATTTAAGTGTATGAAACTAAAAAAAAGGAAAAATTGTTGACAGATGAATGCCTATGAAGGTAATGTATTTTTAGTTTAGAAATATATTTATCGATTTTTGTCTTCGTTTGTGCAAAGAATGATAATAAGGCTAATAAATAAAAAAAAAACGACGACTAACTCACTCCTACATTTGTTCTTTCTCACGATAATTGTTAGAACCTCATTTTGCATCACTTTTTGTCTTTTTTTTTTGTTGCCGATATACGTGTTTTTTAATCTAATCACACCTAGACAAAATGCAATGTGCACTTAAGTTAGTCTTCGTCATTTATGATGGTAAACGGAATAAAGAACAATACTATAGCATCGTTCGATGGTGCAATCACAATGTAAGAGAAAGCAGTCAGTTTGCATTTGGATAGGATGCAGCAGCGACAACATCAAGGAAGAACAGAAAGAAAACATTTTTCTCTTCTAAGATCGTCAAGCACTCTTTGTTCTGTCCGCGGAACGTATGGATCTCCATGTATTTCTCCTCCTTCTCTTCTCGATCGTCTATGTGCTGCCGTTATGTGGATGGCAGTGGCCCACTCATTTGCGCTTAAAGGCCAATGCTTTGTGTGTGCGTGTCTATGCTTGCGTCTCTCTTGTTGAATAACTTGCTATATTTTCTCTTCCTTCATTCGTTGTTTCTTTCTTTCTTCCTTTCTTTCTTTCTCTGGCCCTTTTTTTTCTTCCTTGCTTTTTTTTCTCTTTTTTACTATTTGCGTTGTAACTACCATGTACGAGTACGGGTGTGCGTGGTTGCAGCAGCAGCAGCAGCAACAACAGCAGTTCGATTTTGTTACTGGGCATCTATTCAACGGGGGTCGATGAGAAAAAGTATAGTACACGTATGCACACGTAAGAATAACCGAGAGAAAGAGAAGAAAAGAGAAAAAGAGACCAGTCTATTCGACAACTGCTGTATTATTGCATCTATATTACATCAACTACCATACTAGAGACGTGTCTCATGTAAGAAGAAGAAGAAGAAGAAGAGGAACAACAGAAGAGAGAATATGGACAAGGTTTGAATCATGCATGGATCAATCGATCTAACAAAGGAAACTTTCCATGATTACTTTTTTTTCATATTGTTTGTTTTCTTCATCATGGCAAAAAGGTTATCATCATGAGCTAAACATGAACGTCGCAACGAATTGGATATAAAGGTCAGATCTGTTTTGTTGCGCCTTACTATTGACTCAATTATTGTTCAAAAGTCAATCACAAAACATATATACACATATATAAATATTCACATACAGAGCATACTCATCTCTATTACATTTGTCTCCATTATCGTAAACTTAAAGAAAAATAGGAGTGCAATTACATTCGTTCTTTCGTAGGCATTTTTCTTTTTTTTTTTCTTTTTTCATCCCATCAATCTGTGCATCTAACGTCAACCTTCATTCACCTGGTAGTAATGGTAGAGCGATAAGAAGCAACAAGATTGAGAGAGAAAGAGAGAGAGAGAGTGTGTGACGAGAAACAAAGATAAAATTGCAGCTGACGCGCGTGCGCCCGCGACAGCCTTGTTTCATTCGGGTTTTTCATCACATCACATCAGATTCGTTTTTCGTCGTTATTCTCCTCCAACCTTCTCATTCTATACTGACATCGTTGTCGTGTCGACTATCGCTTTTTGATTTAGTCGACACACACGGTACTTCATCGCCCTTTTCCATTCGCTTCCCTTCTCTCTTATTTTTTTTTTATTATTACTCTGCTTTGCTCTATCGACAACGATACGACAAACTTGTCGTTTTTTATCTCAACTCTTAGCGAAGGTAAGCGATTTTTAGAATGTGGATGTAATATTACATGAGTAGGCGCACATATTGACGAAGGACATTACTATCCATCAAAATGAATCGTAGCAAAGCAGCTGATGAATAACAGTCTCTCGTTGTTCGTCACTCTAGTGTCAGTCGAAGCTAATCGAATCAGTGTGGAAGATCAGTCGAGTGACACGTAACAGTAATGTCTACTTATGTAGAAAAAAAAACGAGAATTAATTTACGTTTGCCGCCACTATGCTTACTAACTGTCATTGTGTCTACAACTCGTACTATTTATGATGTCGACATGCAATATATAGGATACAAATAGAAAAAAACAACAAGGGTATGTATAAATGATAGAATAGTTCTATTTCAGAAATAAAATGAATGATTGTAGCCAACGTGTTGTCTTGAATCTGACTAGTTTTGCAATCTGCCAGGTGCCAAAACGCAGATGCTGGCTTTTCAGATACCTGGCACGCATTGGAAACGGCGATTAATTTATAGGATTTACTTTTTTCCTTATCTTATTTTAGAAAACAACTGGTTTTTATCTATTAATTCAATTATATCATGATGTACAATTTGAATTTTTCTTATTTTGTTATTTTTATTTTTGATTTTCTAAATAAAATATTGACTGATTCTATTTATAATAGAGAAGAATATTATCAATTATTTTTTTCTTAAAATGAAAAATAAGAAATTTATTTGATATAAAACATATTAAAAATCAATTTTTTATATTGTATAAATAATTTTCTTTTATATTATATGCAATAACAATTCATAAACCATATAGTAAATAAATGTACTATCATAATCATTAACGTCAAGATAGATGTCGCTATTATTGTCACTGTTGAATTAATTTTAATCTATTGATTTCTATTGATCCTTTAGAATAAGAAATATCAACAATATGATCAAATAGAATAAATTGAAGTACAAAAGATAATAAAGTTATTTAAAAAGCAGCACAGTAAAGAATGTCCGTAAATGGCTGTAAAAGAAACCAATGCTATAAGAAAGCTTAGTCATTCATTTGTTTGATCATCTGTCTCATTCGTCATTCATTCATTCATTCAAGCGTTAACTTTCTAATCATTACATACAAATTTTTCTTTCATTAATCAAACTTTATATTTATAGACGAATATCAATCTGATCAATAAAATTTATTCTTTATAGTTATGGTATTTTTAATTTCAATACTTGAAGAATATTTTTCATTTCTTGATAAAATCGAGCCAAATACTTTATTCTATGTATTAATTATATTTACATGGATTATTTCTATTTGGCAACATTATCTTGCATATCGACAAGTATATTGATTTTGTTTTTTTCTTTATGAATAAAATCTTTTTTGTGATATTTATTCTAATTAAATAGTATAAAAATTATAAACGTCATCGAACTGTTCCAAATGAACTAGCCGATGTTATGACAGATGAAGAACTTAAAAAAGCTCGTTCATATGCTATTGATAAGATGCGTTATAATCAAATTCATTCGATATTTAATGAAATTGAAACAACGGTAAAATTATTTGAAAATTTGATTTATTTTTGTTTTTGAATATAAATAGATATTATTATTAATTGGTATTTTTCCATGGTTATGGAAAAAATCTGGTAATATATTAGCTAAATATAATTATAATAATCATGAAATATTACAATCACTTATATTTATTTCTATTATTACGATCTATTTAACAATTTCAAATATGCCATGGTCATATTATTATCATTTTATACTTGAAGAAAAACATGGATTTAATAAACAAGTAAATTAAAATAATTATTTTATGATAAAAGAAAACAAAAATTATTATTGTTGTTGTTTTTTTCTATTTATTTATTTATTTTATAGACAATTAAATTTTTTATTAAAGATAATATTAAAAAATTAATTGTTATACTTACATTAGTATTACCAATTGTTGCACTTTTAATTAAAATTATTCAGATAGGTGGTAATTATTTTTTTATTTATGCATGGCTATTTGTTACAAGTATATCATTAGTAAAGATGTTCTATATTTGATTTAAAAAAATAATCATTTCGTTTGTTTTTTCTTAATATTTAATTTAGATTATTGCATTCATTTATCCAAATTATATTGCACCATTATTTGATCGTTATGATCCATTACGTGAAGGAGAATTACGTTCAAATATTGAAACATTAGCAGCTAAAATTAATTTTCCACTTGCTAAAATTTATGTTGTTGAAGGTTAGTCTTAGAAGATAAATAATATAATCCAGTATCAAAAAATGTTTCAATATCTAATCTTTGATTAATCGTTTCATCTTCTAGTAATATCTTACAAGGCAGTAAAAGCTTTCAAGAATCTTATAATACGACTTACAAGTGAACCTCTTCAAATTTCTTCCTTCTGATTTCAAGGACTTTTTTTTCCCTATAGATACTGAATAGTGTTTTATTAAAAACTCGAACTTGATTTGAGTTCCTACTGAGATTTGAATAAGCTATTGAATTTTGAACAAAGTCTCTTCGAGATACAAATCTTTCAAAAAATGCATGTTGTATACACTATCCTTGGAAGAGGGTCTAGGTCTTGATGAGATGGAAGATAGTCTAGTTCAGGTCTTAATATGCACTAAGTTTCAGATCAAAAATTGAAAATACGAGATCTTTAGAAAATAGACATATTAAAAATTCGATAGCTTAGTCAAACCTCAATAGGAATCCAAATCCTTTTTGAGCTTCTATTAAAATATTATGTAGTATCTATAGGCAAAAAAGTCATAGAAAATGGCAGGAAGTATTTGAAGAGGTTTCCTTGTTTACAAGATTTCTAAGACTACGACTTTCATCTGATTGTGTGACCTGAGTAGATAAGAAATTTTTTAGGTTCGGCTCGATCGGCTCATTCCAATGCATATTTTTATGGATTTTTTAAAGCTAAACGAATTGTTCTTTATGATACTCTTATAAAAGGTTATAGTATTCAAGAAACCAAAGATGATGTAAGCTAAATTGATTACAAACAAAACATGAAATTGAACTAATTAATTATTTTTTTTTTTGTAATTATAAGAATAAAGAAAAACAATCAAATGAAACACAAGAAAAACTATCAGCAGAAGAAAATACGTTAACTAAACGTCATACAACTGATGAACAACAAACGATAAAAAAGAAAGTTGATAAAGGTTGTGAATCTGAAGAAGTTCTTGCTGTATTATGTCATGAATTTGGACATTGGTCACTTAGTCATAATATTATTAATTTATCCATTTCATTTGTAAGTTTATAAGATATTCAAAAAAAAGCAACAAATCTTTATTATCTAAAATATATTTTCTTAAAGATTAATTTATTCTTCGTATTTACTATATTTGCTGCTCTTTTCAAACGTTCTGTTCTTTATCAATCATTTGGTTTTACTACAACACAACCAATTCTATTAGGTTTATTAATTATCTTTCAATATGTTTTATTGCCTTATTTTGAAGTAAATAAAAATATTTTTGTTTTCATTCTAAAATTGTTTTTTATTTTTATAAAAGATATATTCATTTGCATTAACGGTATTATCACGTCGTTTTGAATTTCAAGCTGATCATTTTGCTGTTAAACTTCATTATGGTGATTCATTAGGACGTGCATTAAAAAAACTTGAAATTGATAATATGGCATATCCATTTTCGGATTATCTTTATGCTAAATATCATTATTCACATCCAACATTACTTGAACGTCTTAAAGCAATTCAATCAACGAAATCAACCTAAAATATTGCTTTATTATTATTATTCTTGTTCGTCATCGTAAACTTCATCATTCTTATATAGATTCAATAAAACTCAACGAATAACTCTTCTCAAATATTTATTTCTATCATAAATCTTATTTTCATCTAGACTATTGTTGTTTATGATACTAATATGAAAAAAAAGATTTCTTATTAAAGTGTACTGTTAAGTTTTTCAGAAAAGTCAAGTGATTTTTAGCAGCTTCAAAATAATGTTAGTCAAAGTCTTTTAAGATTTTCAGCTTGAAACTCTAAAAACTAGGTATATTTTAATGTAAACATTCTGATTACAAATTCCAATTTTTCGAGAAATCCATTACACGAGAAGTTTAAACTTCTTATTAAGAAAAAAATCGTATATGAATCTCTTTTTTCGTTGAAAACTCATTATAAATATAAATTAGTTATACAAAATCATATGAACAATTAGAGATAAAAACTAACATAAAAAGAATATTGAAATGTATCAAAATAATAAATTAAATAATATTCTTTATATTTTAATATTTTAGTTAGTATTTATTACAGAAACTATTATATGATTCTTTTTATTTTATTTATCACATTCTAGATCATGCATTCAGATAATGAACAAGAAGACAGTGATCTTAATAGAAAAGATATCAAAATTAAAGTTGAACGATTTTGTGAACAATCACAAATTTATTTAAATCGATTACTATTACTTAAACAACAATTAGATGAAACAAATCGTTTACATCAATTTGATTCATATGTACAAAAATTGAGTAAGTATTATATGCGTGTCCGAAGTACAGCATTTCTATAGTCAGTCATGTATACATTCGGCCTCCATATTTTGCGTATTTTTTGCTGTAACAAAATCTATACTCTTTGTGCTGCAGCGGTCTACGAAATGCAGAGTCACTAGAAACTCGTTCAAATTTTGTCTCGAAATGATAAAAACGTTTCTAAAATCTTCCATATCAGTTTTCGTTCCTCTTTAGTAAGTTCTGCAAAACAGCGATTTTGATGATTTGAGTCTCCATTCAGCTAAACTACCAACTATTCTGAGTAGGAGCGATAATGAAAACCTTCGACAGAAAAAGATCGACTCTAGATACAATCGTTTATTCTTTTGTTTTTTTTTGCTACTAAACGTACGCTCATTTTTGTAGAGAAAGTCACCCAAAGAAAGGCAAATTTTTGTCTATATTGTTGTTTTTCAAGTTTCGAGACAATTAAAACGATGATGGTAACAAAAGTTAGTCAATATTCATATCTTAGACTGCTGATGACAGATAATCAATCAGATTGATAATGAAGCGATCAATCAGTAGTCGTCATTAGGAATATGTTGATATCTATTAATAGAGTTCTCTTAATAATGAATTTCGGAATGACTACTTTTCATTTTCATCAGCTAATTAATAGAAACAAAAGATTTTTGATTAACAGCGACCAAAAAAAAACCCATGATTCAATTGAAACGTAAATAGTTTTTTGAGAAAAGCATTTTATAATAACTCATAGCAATGATTGCTCGTTTTGTGTAAGATATCAATTTTTTTCAATAAACGACGTTCGTAGTTTTGCACTATATTTCACAGTCGAGTGAAACTTGAATACCATCTAGTTTTTCAGAAATAATACTTAAATGATTTATTTTTAGATGAAATGGGCAAAATTGTTCAAAATTTACTTCAAAATATTCGTAGCATTGAACAATTACATTTACAATTAAATGATAAAGATCGTTTAAAACTTGATCGTCAAATTCGTCTTTTACGAACTGAAATCGATCGTGAAATGTCTGAATTTCATATACTTCGTGAACAAGCTATGACTTCTACAATGAATGAAAATTTATCATCAATCGATGATACTAACAATAATGATAATATACAACAAGATATAATATCTAATGAACTTCGTCAACGACATGTAACAACAACAACAACAACAAATAATTTAAATGATTCATATGATTTACTTGAACAAGATTTAATACTTTTACATGAAACTATGGGTGAAGTTGCACAACTTGTTGCACAACAAAAAGAAAAAATATCAAATACAGAACATTTAATGAATCTAGCTCACAATCGAATACATGAAGCATCAACATTACTTCAACGAGCAATTCATAATAAATATGTTACATTAGCATCAGGTGCTCTACTTGGTGCTGCTCTTGGTGGACCTGTTGGATGTTTTATGGGTTTAAAAATGGGTGCATTAGTAGCATTGAGTGGTTCCGCTGTTGGTGCTCTATCAGCGAATTTTATGCAACAAAGAATGACAAGAAATGATGAACCACAAAGCAATGATATATCTTATCATCAAGCTATGCTATGATATGAAAGATGGATATTTTCTTTTAAAGAATATTCAATTTTCTTTTTCCGATCACTTGTACTTTTACAATTTTTTTTTTCGAAATTTTTCAAATAAATGTTTATATGTATATACTTATTAACATTCACGACATAGATCAAATTAGAATTGGATTTATATGAAGAAACAAACAATGGTTGTTATGTTGTATTTATATTATAACTATCTAAAACAAAGGAACAGATCTAGCTGCTAATCGCTAATCGAAGTGGTATTTTACTCAAAAGTAGGATTCAGTCACACTCAAGCAAGCCTGAAAGAATTTCTCATAGGCCTTCTTTATGGAGTTATGACCGTTGTATCGGGTTTTCGGCTTATGGCAAGGTAATTATAGAAAAATCAAAAACAAGGAATTTTCATCTGAATTTGTGCCCATAAATAGGAGATTTCTTGATTCTTAGAATATCCTAGAAGTTTCAGCCAAAGCAGATGATTCCTCCTTAGCATATTGAATACTGACGACAAGTTAGCTTGATGACGCTTCTTGTGGTATATGATTATGTTTTTGAATATTCAAGGGATCAAGAGATATATGTATCAGCAAAAGTTCAGGTGAAATTTTCTTTGCTTTGATTTTTTTCAATGAATACTTTGCCATAAGCCGAAAATCCTATAAAATAATCATAACTTCATAAGGAAGGTCTATAGGGAGAAATTCTTTCAGGCTTTTCTTAGTTCTACTGAGTCCTACTTATAAGCAAAATATTAATTCAATCGACAATTAACAGCTTGATATGTTCCCTCGAAAGCCATCTAATACATGACATAAAATATCGTTAAAATATTAACACTCGACATGGTTAGAATCAATCAAAAGATCAAATTATTCAATTTACTTTCTATTAGAATACTGAAATGAATTCTAGAATTTGTAAAACTGTCGTTTTTTTTTTGTTATAATAAATGTCATTGAGTATGTTCTTTGAATTTTATTAAAAGAAAATGTTTTCTATGAATCGAGAATTTGTGTTTCAAATCCTTTCATTTTGTCATTAATAAATGTTATTCATTTGAACATGCTTTGATTAGAGAAAACAGATTATCTTGGCATCTATTCATTCTATGTTTTATTGACAGTGAATTTAATTGAACAGTTATATATCTCGATAGAAATACTAACTGAATTTCTTAAACATTAGATTTTTTTAAAAATTCCAGAATAATCATAAATCGTACGAGACAAAATAAGACAAAGGGATAAATATTTATCTTTGCTTTAATATTTTGAAAGAAAATATACGTGACATTTTGCTGTTGAAAATAACAGCTATTCTTTTTTTTTAAGAAAATATGATAACTATTATCCACAATAATTAATATAAATATATGAAATGTTTGAAGAATTGACAAAACTAATTTGTTTATTGTATTTGTTAACTTATAGAAAATTTCGTTGATATATCTAAAGTTTACCGATTACAGCTCGGTTCTCAAGAAAAGATGGCATTGAATAAAATTGAATATTTGTACTAGAATTATTCGATCATCATGATATCAATCTAACATAATTATTCTTCTTCTAGTGATTTTATATTGATCCCAAATAAACTATTATGAAGAAATTCTATCTAAAGTCAAAATAATTTTATTAGGTATTACGAAAGAGATGAAAATTATTCATATTTTATTACACCGATTGATATTTGAAAATATATCGATTTTATACGTTTTAACATATTGTCTTCTTATGAAGTACGAAACAAAAAACATTCCCTACTACTCATTCATACATTGTACACTTAGAGTTAAATTGAATGGTATGATTTTTGACTTACAAAAACGTATAGTAATGAGCATATTGGAAGTAACGCATTAAATATCATTTATCAGCTCTAATCAAATACTCTTGGATGATGAAGAAGATTGGAAAATCTTCAATAGAATGGATGCATTCATCCATCGTCATCGAAAAAAGACATAGCAAACTATTAATTATGCAACAATCAAACAGTAACAGTCATTTTCTTTTCAAAGAAATTATTTTCAAGACTTCTGAATTCTGCTTTTTTTTTCTCAACATAAAATCTATAATATATTTACTGTTCTATTCAAACAATATGACATATAAAAACAAAAGATTATCAATATTATTTTCATCTCTTTTATCTTACACTTCTAATAACCTTCAGAACCATTATAAGAATATTTTACATCATCATTGTTGATGAAAGATGATAACATGAAAAATTACATAATTTCATTGTTCACAATATCTTCAAACTGTTTTTTTCTTGATCTTTACATTTTCGTTTCGTTACAATTTTAGAATTTAATTGTATTTACACACTTATGATATGTTTAAAACTCGAAGTAGACAGTAATAATCATGTTGACAAATATATTCTTCTTCGTTTTATTTATTGAATTAATCATACAATATAATGAAGATGTGTTCTGATTTCTTAATTAACAATGATTTCATGCCTTCGAAGAAAAAGAATTCCATTTGTCATTAACTGCTATATGACATAGATCTGTGCGTTCAGTAGCTAGCTTTTATTAATGATGTGAAAAGCAAGAGAAATCGAGAGAGAAAGAAATATATGTCGATGTCTATTTGTTGCCATCGTGAGCGCAGCAACCAAACAAACATAAATCATGTATTGTATTGTCGACTGCATCGATGTTTCCTCGGTTACTCTTCTTTGCATTTTTTTCTTCTTTCGCAACAGGCATGTCCGTCCGTCTGCTATACTGTTGCTACGATGATCATGCGAAGTACATACACATAATTTCTCTTTTTCTTTTTTTTCGTTTCAGCCGTCGTTGCTGTCGTCGTCTAACAACGCACACATACACAATACACTCTTTCCATACACATACATCCACTTCATATTTCTCTCTTTCTCTTTTTTCTTTCTCGCTTCGTATTTAAAAGAAGAAACTCAGTTCAAAATTGCCTCTCATTCTTCGCTGTAGACGTACACATTCGCTCGTCGTCGTTGTCACCGCTTATAAATATCTCTATACTTTGAACATAAAAAACTCGAAAGAAAAACAAAGTAAATAACTCTAAAGAAAAAAAAAATTCTTTTTAAATAATATAATTAAAATAATTTCCGTTTTGTATAGATGCGTGAATGTATCTCAATCCATGTCGGCCAAGCCGGTGTTCAAATTGGTAATGCTTGTTGGGAACTTTATTGTTTAGAACACGGTATTCAACCTGATGGTCAAATGCCTTCAGATAAAACCATCGGTGGTGGTGATGATTCATTCAACACATTCTTTAGTGAAACTGGTGCTGGAAAACATGTACCACGTGCTGTTTTCGTTGATTTAGAACCAACTGTCATCGGTAAAATGAAAATATGCAGAAAGAAATATTGATTCTATATATATGACCTTTTAGATGAAGTACGTACTGGTACATATCGTCAGCTTTTCCATCCTGAACAACTTATCACCGGCAAGGAAGATGCTGGTAAGCATTTGTTTAATATTAGATTTCTTTTACTTATGACAAATTTTCTATCTCTATAGCTAACAATTATGCTCGTGGTCATTATACCATTGGAAAAGAAATTGTTGATCTTGTACTCGATCGTATTCGTAAATTAGCTGATCAATGTACTGGTCTTCAAGGTTTTCTCATCTTCCATAGTTTTGGTGGTATGTATTTGATTTTAATTATTTGAAAATAGTTTTTCATTGAAAAAAAAAACAAATTTTCTTTTCTTTTTTAGGTGGTACTGGTTCAGGTTTCACATCATTGTTAATGGAACGACTCAGTGTTGACTATGGCAAGAAATCAAAACTCGAATTTGCCGTTTATCCAGCACCGCAAATTTCGACTGCTGTCGTTGAACCATACAATTCGATTCTTACAACACACACAACACTTGAACACTCGGATTGTGCTTTCATGGTTGACAATGGTTCGTGCATATATATATTTTATTTTATTTCTAATTTTCTTTTGAATTTATAGAGGCCATCTACGATATTTGCCGTCGTAATTTGGATATCGAACGACCAACATATACCAACTTAAATCGTCTTATTGCTCAAATTGTTAGTTCAATTACAGCATCACTTCGATTTGATGGTGCACTCAATGTCGATCTTACTGAATTTCAAACAAATTTGGTACCTTATCCACGTATTCACTTTCCTCTTGCTACATATGCACCAATTATTAGCGGTATGTTTTATGTCATATTTATATATATCATAAATATGAAAAAACCTATGTTTTTATAGCTGAAAAAGCCTATCATGAACAATTAACTGTCGCTGAAATTACTAATGCTGTATTCGAACCAGCTAATCAAATGGTTAAATGTGATCCTCGTCATGGTAAATGATTTATATTTGAAATATTATTTTTTTTGTTATTAATATATTAATAATATTTTAGGAAAATACATGGCTTGTTGTTTATTATATCGTGGTGATGTCGTACCAAAAGATGTCAATGCAGCTATTGCTACCATCAAAACAAAACGAACAATTCAGTTTGTTGATTGGTGTCCAACTGGATTTAAAGTTGGTATCAACTATCAACCACCAACTGTTGTACCAGGTGGTGATTTAGCTAAAGTTCAACGTGCAGTTTGTATGTTATCAAATACAACAGCTATTGCTGGTATGTTCGATGAATTTTGTAGAACTTGTTTGAAGGTTAATTGTTTTGTTATAATTTGACAGAGGCTTGGGCTCGTCTTGATCACAAGTTCGATTTAATGTATGCCAAACGTGCTTTTGTTCACTGGTATGTTGGTGAAGGTATGGAAGAAGGTGAATTTTCCGAAGCTCGTGAAGATTTGGCTGCACTCGAAAAAGATTATGAAGAAGTCGGTGTTGATTCAGTTGAAGTATGTTATTTTTTTTTTCGTTTTATTTTAAGAATAAATAATTTGTAAACTTCTTTTTTCAGGGCGAAGGCGAAGGTGAAGGTGAAGAATATTAAATGGGCGAAGAAAAAAATCATTGAGAGCACAGCAACATTAACAACCATAATCTATTCTATCGAACATTCTAGTTTCTTATTGTGTACTATCATTTTCTTTATTTCTTTTTGCTTCTGTATCTTTTCCACTAGTTTGACAACAAGCGAGAGATCTTCTATATGTAATTCATTGGAATTCCTTCTTATTTTTAATCAATTTTTCTGTGCTTCGCCTATGAAAAAACATCAAATAAACAAATGATTCACTTTATTCTAATTAAATAGAAATGTTTAAGTTATTTGAAAAAAATTTTTTGCATGTAATATTTTGCGATTAGAAGAATTGTTGAAATTCATTGTATATATTTAGTTTACATTTACGTCCTTAGCTATTGCTGAATTTCTATAATAGTCTAGCAGTCACGCTACATGTTCATTATTAAATTAAGCAACACATGATTTCCTCTGAATTTTACACAATTTGAACACTTATAATGTCTTATTTGTTAATTTCTTTATTGCTACAATTGAAATTATGTGTATAAACGAAGAACTACATGCTGTTTTTTTTTATTCAATTAAATCATTTAAATGTAAATCCATCAAACCGATTGTTTGTGTTTGAAATTCAGATGGAAATTAACTTGATGGTAATAGTAACTTAGAAGCAGAGATGGAGAATCTGTCGCTAAAATGAAAAGTTTCCTCCAACGAAGAGAAATTCTTCTAAAAAATTTCCCCTACTGTCAAAATAAAATAAATCGTTATTTCAAAAAAAAGATCAAGAGTGAAACAAGACTACTACACACTCAAAATAACACTATGTAAAAAATAAATTAGTTTCATCAATCATTGAATAATATTGATAATCTTGATACTTGGTCATTCTAGAAATGATTTATTACAACCGAACTAAGGCTTAAATGTTTTCATGTTAGATATTGTTTACTTTTCCTATAACATAGCACTAGTTTAGATTGAAAGTTAAGCAGGATAGCGAAGTTTTCTAACTTGTTACCTTGCTTTCGGTAGTTCTGCCATGGCTTGTGGTGAATAGTTTGTTATATGTATTAGGAAAAGCAAAGCCACAGTTAACTAAAACAGCAACGCAAGTAAATGAAATACTCTAATACTACCCATATTTGAAAAACATAACAGGAGTAAAACAAAACGTCATATAGGATATATGCATATTGAAGAAAGATCTATTGAACGGTATGAAACAAGAAACTTTCTTTGCTATAACTGACTGATTATAATATAAAAGTTGACAATTTTTAATATAACAAGGGGAATTTTGAGCAGTTTCTTAACAATTTTTTCGTTGTTCTAAATTTTTTTAGCGTCTTGATTTGTATTTCGAAATCAATCATATTATATTAAGCAGAATATAATTCTCTTTCGTAATAAAATATATTAATAGCGTTAGTATTGAATTTTACACAATTTCAGAAGATTTAAACTTTAGCATCCTGATTTGAACTATGAAGTTTTTCGTCTGGTATTTTTGATTTTGTTAGCCTCTTATAATACCTTGGTCCAAAACAGTCTTCTATAACAGACGATTTTTGTAACAATTGGTTAATCTTTTGAATTTTTTCCCTATGTCGAGGAGCTATTATTCTATTCCATGTATCATCTGTAACCTTAATTTTTAAATGTAAATGTGAATGATTTCGATATGTTCCATGATTAAGAACAATAGCTCGATAACATATTTCTAGTTGATTACATTCTCTATCAATTAATTTAATAGCATCATACCAAAATGCTTCCATTTCTCCATTTTCATCGGTTAATTCTGACAAACGTTCAACATGTCGAATTGGTGTTAAAATAAGCATTGCTCGAGCGGTGGCATCAAGCCATGCACGAGTATATTCTTGTTCAGATAATAAAGTAGTCATACTTAATTCATGTGTTAATTCACATGATATACAGACAGGAGTCAATGTTGGTTTTGATGCACGATGAGGCTTACCGAAACAAATCCATACATCTAACTCATTATTTCGTTGAGGATTATATTGAAGTTCAAGATGATAATCAATTAATTGATGAACCTGTTCAAGAAAAGTAACAAGTTGTCGAAAAAATTGACCAGCTCGATTAGTTAACACAAGATTACGTAAACTGATAGAACATTGAAATATCCATTGATTAGGAAATTTGTGTGGAATAAGCCATTCAGCAGGAATAGTTAATGATGTCATTCTTTTCTGAAATATCAAATGATTAGATAAATCATATATATATTTACGTTTCTAAAGACTATACATGCAAATAATTCAATTTAGTCTAATAAAAGAAAATCACTTATGTGTCAAAAAATCTTTGTACAACATGTCTGTTCGATTTTCGTTTGCTTATAAGCTATTAAGGGAAATGAAAAATATTCAACTAGAATGAGAACTTTATGCTTTTGCTAATACGTATATGCAGAATTATTTTTTTCTGGCTTAAAGTTGGTTTGTTGAGAGTAAGTAATTAATGGATGTCAAAAACAACATTTGCATAAAACACGAAATTAAAAGATCTTGGTAAATATGTTTGTTCATTTTCTGAACATCTAGATATCGTTGAAGAGAATCAATATTTGATGTTCATTCCAAATGTATATTGAGAATTATTATTTAATGTGCATGACTGGTTATTTGCGAGCAAATATCTGAATAAATCAAAAATGTTGTTCGTCGTACCCACGAAAAAAGGTAGGAAAAATCTGCGTTTGAGCTCCTTGTTTTTGTCAGTTCGCATGTTTTTGTTAGACTTTAAACAAAATTTATTTAAACGCATTGGAGTGCGTTTTTTTCACTAAAAACCGTAAACAAATCGTTCAAGAACGTGCTCCATATGATACATTTTATTGGATAAAAACGAAGTTTTTTCCCCTATAAAAATCTCTTTCTATTTATTTATCAGATTTACTACCATTCTATTTCATGTTTGTCAATAACTTCTTTGCTGAAAATTCTAAAGATTTCGGAAAAGATATATCGTAGTCAGCGTTACAAAGTTCAAAATATAGTCAGTATACAAATGCTTCTTCTATTAATTTATACTTAACCTTTTGTTAGACCGTTATGGACCACTTGGGGATGCTGTCTATACTCCGTCTTTTTCAATATTGACTACGAAAAATCTTTTTCGAAATCTTTAAATTTTTCAGCAAAGACGTTACTAAAAAGTGGTATAAATTTGATAAAATAATTAGTATGAATAAATGAATAGAAAAAGACTTTCGCAAGAAAAAGAAACGTAAAATATGGATTGGAGCAATCCATATAACTATCACTGCAATCAAGGTATAGATGTCACCGGAATCAGATAATTTGAAGATAATTCTGGAGCAACAATGATCCAGATAGACCATCTAATTAGTTTACTTCAATCAGACAGAATTTCTTCCGGAGATATATGGTCTAATATTTCTAACTAACGATGTAAATTGAAGTAGAAAGTATTTTCACTAAATAAATACTCTATGGATTCTAATTTCTTTTTCTATCAACATATCTGAACTTTTCTAGCATGAAATTCAACATTCCTGAGATATATGTGTATGCATCGTTTATCTCTATGAGCGTTATCTATCAGATAGTTAATTTTGAAGATTGGAAACGAAAGACTAAGACTCACCCAAAGAAACTTTCAATGTTGAGAAGCTAGCACAACACAACGAATTACTATGGGTTGAGATAAGCTACATACACCTGCATGTACACATACAAAATCGCCATTGCATCAAAATGACGTATAGCCTCTAAAATCTGAAGGAGGGCGTTTCGCATCACTTTTTGAATTCACAAGCCCGTTTCTATATCATAGTGAAAAAATAGAAAACATCTGTAAAAATGTTCAGATTATTATGAATTTAATGTTGCAGAAATCATAATATATAATAAAAATTCATACTGAAATTAATAAAGATATTAAAAAAAGAAATGAATAAACAATGAGTTCTTTTTAGAGTTTTTCCGAAAAAAATGTCGCGAGATAATGATTGATAAAAGATTTACGATGAATAAAGTAAACAAAGAAAAAATATTAATAAATGGTGTTGATTCTTTTTTGTTTCAAATAGAAGAACGAAAATATGCCATTCTTTAGTTTAAAGTCATTTTCTGTGCAAAAAACCATACAAAGAGAGAAAC